TCAAAATAGGAATGCTCAGATGGACATGCAATGTCGGCAAAAAGGGGCACTTCCGGAATACGTTCATAAGAGGAACATAATAAATAACTTCTGTAAAAGTCAAACGGACTGAAAGTCGGTTCCATTATTTTGTGCATGTGTAAGGAAAACCCAACGAATGCGTCGAAAAAGTGCTCAAAATACAGATAATGCCAAGAAAAGAAAGTCAACGAAAACGTATGAAACGAAATGAAACTTACGGTAAAACCGGTGCGTTTTGCAATGGTCACGGAACGTAGAGGAGAGAGATTCATTCAGTGGACAAGCTCCGGGATGAGGAAGAGGTGGCCCGAAATATTTCATTTTATTTAAGAAGTTATTTTTAAAATATTTGTTACTGTTAGAGACTAAAAACCACAGTAACAACGAATTCTGAATCAGTAAACTAAACATGCCGTGTATAGCTGCTCCAATAAATAATATATCCACTTGAGCTCAGCTATTAGTGAACTTGAAGCCTTGCAAATCATGAACCATCTGCCATCAGTACGACAATTCTGCAGTTGAGCATTCGTGTCTTTTATCCATTGAGCATGGTAGTACAGTGCTTAAGAAGCCGACTTTGAACCGCGGGGGTAGCGAGTTCAATTCTGGCAGAGGAAAAACCTTTGTCTAAAGCAAGAAGTTGCAAAGCTTTGCTTCAAACCAAGGTTGCTCAGTCGATAAGACTTTCGACTCAGAACCGAGAGGTCCGGGACTCGAATCTCTGTTGCAATGACTCACCATTCTTCTTCCTGAGGTCGATAAATAAGTACCATTCTGTGGGAAGGAAACAGAAGACTGAAAATAATGCCAGTTACACAGTTACTATCAACTGTGTTTAAAATATGGCACACCTGGCCGATGGTACAGCAATTGAGATTAGGTCCCCATTCTTATTTCACGAAAATCAGAGCACCAGAAATGGCCCCATCATGTAAGTGCAAGGAAGACCGACATTCCAACGGCTTCAAACTTCCAACTCCGTTTCCTCTATCAGAAACAGACCTTGGCCATGGTAAATCAAATCATTAGTTACAGTGGGGAATAGACTTGAGCTGGGCAGCCGTAGAAGCACCAGAAATACGTTGAAGGTACAGATGAAAAGAAGAACCGTCGAAATAACATGATAACGCAACAAGCAGAACGGAATTAGCAAACAGATGACTTTCGATAGTTAGAAATGACAGAAGTGTGTCAAACGACAGACAAAGCATAAAGACAGCAGAAAGAAACTAATAGCACATACCTCAGGTTGGAAGTCTTTGCAATCTAGCAGCGGGTCAGAGTTACCAGAGGATGAGGCAAATTTCTTATGAAAAAACAAATATTCATGCAATCCTATGCACCCTTATACGTTAAGTACTGAGGACATGGCTCAACGAAATTTCCTACTTGGTCATCAAAATTTTGAACCAGAAGAACTACGGAATTTGCTGGTTTGTTTTCTCAGATGAGCCAATAGCTTGCAAGCACTGAAGCAAAGGCAACGCTACTGACTTACGAAAACCCAGCAATGCACAGTGCTTACTTTCCACTTTGCCGTTGGTGGCAATCGCCGATATGGATATGCTGGTCAGGAACGTCTGAAATAACGCGTCAAAGTTGATATCGAAACGAACGGCAACGTAGGGACATAGGCTTACGCAAAGACAGCACATGAACACGATGACGAATGCCTCGCCAGCACCGGCAATGCCAACGATCCACAAGAGTCGAAGGAACATCTGAACGCCAAGAATATGCTGTATGCTCGGAAGGTAAACGCCAAGCAGGGTTCCCAACTTAGTTTTCTGAAATATAGTCAATAATTACAAGTGCTGATTTATTTGACTTAAACAGAAATAACCCTGACTGTCTTAAGTGCCTGTACTTTACTTTAAGCTTGTCGTGTAGTACAAGATCGAAATAATTATGTATTTCGCTGTTAACACACAGTTTAAAATTTCAGTGAAAATTGGTCGATCGCACGTTGACCCATTCTGGCCAGAAACCATGATTCCCATCGTTACAACTTGAAGGCAATTATACACTACGTATAAATGTGAAGGAATGGAGGACACGAGAAAGGACAGCTGGTGACCGCAAAGGAGTCGGTCTCTTACATTCTCAAGATTGAATGTCATTTGTGGCACCATTCGTCTTTTCAATGTCATCAGCAAGAAGTATCCTATTTTACGCTTAGAGACTGAAGCTGTGTGGCAAGCACAGAGTGTAGCATCCTTTTTCCTTCTCGCAGAGCGGTACTCATTTATTAGCATCAGAAGAAAGACGAGTAACCTGACCGGAGCTCCAGCCCAGAACCTACTGGCTCTGACAGGTACAGTTTAGTCCCATGCACGTTAGAAGACCCTGTTCTAAAACGTTCTTCTTATCTCATGATAGGCTCCTTGTAGGAGTTAGAATTGAGTTAGCGTATCAGGGTATACTATAGGTTATTAGGCGAAATGAAAGCATGCGGAGTAGTGTGACTCCCTTTTGTCATGTGTTTTCTGAAGTTTATTGAATCATAAGTTTGCCTGCCGTATTCTAAAGGTAATGCTGCACACAATAAGAGTATACATGCTCTGTTAGTCCCTAAGCCATATCGGAACCTTAAAGAAAGTGGAACCTAAATCTGATAGGTAATACTTTATCACACGCCGATCCATGATAAAGAATATCCAGATTTCCGCTGACGTACTGGCACTGTGCCAAGAGGTCGACTTCAAACGTCAAACCGGAGGTGTCGCTTTCGATTCTGTAAGAGGAGCAACCACTGCTTAAACAACGAATTCCCTTGAGCAGGAAACTTCCTACAGTTTGCGTCTGAACAGGGTTGCTCAGTCGGTAGAACATCAGATTCAGACCCCAGCTGGAGTCACTGATTTTCCTCATTATGAGGCTGAAAAATTAGTACAGATTGTAACAACGAATGAAGAGGCCACGCAGTATGACTACCACATAGGTGCTATAGACTTTGCCATTCAAAAACGCACCCCTAATTGATTGCATGGAGATGGAGATGAGCGACCCACCATTAACCTCATGAAGCAAAAGGTGTCACAAACAGATCCATCGTAAAAATAAAAAGAAGATCGTTATTTCAACGATTATATTGAGTTTTCCCATTTATGTCGTTCCTACAATAAGAAAAATAAAGAAAAGAGGCCCGACAGGGGTCAGTGAACTCTTCCGCGACTAGAAGCTCTCCAAAACTCTTCTTATTTAGATCTCACTGGGCTGACTGATGAATGTTGAGGACAAACGCTATGGATAGCGATGGTTGGCACCCTGAATGAACTGCCTACGAAGTTCCCCAAAAATCCTTCATGCGCGGAAGAATGCCAGGGCTGCTGCATCGGTTGCTAAAAAAACTGTAATTCCTAAGGACATGGTGATGGTCCGGACACGACCGGGAAACTGCAAAAGGATATGGTTAAAATCTGCATGGCCAGCCTCAGCACTAGAACTCTGTCGTCTGACGCATGCGTCGGCGTCCACATAACCGAGGAGAAGGGGATGCCGGGGCAAATGTTCTTAGGGAATGCAAAGTCCGGAGATCTGCCAACCTCATCGCATCATGGAAAAGTTGTGATCAAGTATTCCTCAGGAAAACGGACGAAACCGAGCGCATACAGGCCGTGCAGGATTCATCGTCAAGAAAAGTGCGTATTCAGCTGTACTACTGCCTCAGATGAATTTTGCATTAGAGATCAGATGATGCACTGATGTAGATTGCCAACACCTTATCGATACCTTAATCTAAATTGCTATGTTGTCATCCAGCCGGGCAGCAATGTTGATGAGATGTAATGCACCCGTCCTGCAGCGAGGCAGCTGTTGGCCAGAAGAGCAGGAATGAAGGCTAATGGGTAACCGAACAAAGAGTACACTGCGTTGCGAAAGAAATTGGAAAGAAATTCCAAAAAAAACTTTGATGAGCATAGGTTAATGACACTAAGAGGAGCAGGAGTAAAGAAGAATAGTCTGAAGACCGCGGAAAGGTATCCTCCTAATAAAGCAGATTATGGTAGCGCTAAAGGACGAAGGTGGAACATGAACCACAGAGCGCTCTCCTATTAAAGCGATCTGCACGAGATTCTACAACTACCTCTAATCCTCAGAGATATAGGTAAATATGGCACTACCTCACGTTGCCCAAGAAACCTTTCTCGATGGTAAATGGAACAGAGTAGAGTGAGCAATAAAGAATATCACGAATAACGGACGGTATGAAACCAGAACATCTCAAGTCAGGAGGAATTTCCTATTCAAAGCCCTTGATGAACAACTGACACATTACATCAGGTTGAAGAAGACGCCAAAAGCATGGAATAGCTCATTGTCGATTATAGTATTCAATAAAGGTGATGTTGAAGACCTCCAAAACCATTGATTCATCACTCTCCTGTCAACAAGAAAACAAGTTTTTTATCTGAATCATCTTCAGCAGTATCCGGAAAGAATTAGAACTGCTCGCTGGGCAACAAGTATCCGGTTTCTGAACAGGGTTCTGAACCATAGACCACATTCACGGCACGAATCAATTACCAAAGAAGTGCAAGGAATTCTCTTTCTGCTATGATTTTATCCACTTCAGAAAAGGGTCTATATTCTATCAAGTTGAGAGCTATGCTGAACGCCTTACACGACTCTGCCTGAATCAACCAAATTGAGGAACTAAATACTGAAACCGCAATCGGTATCAAGCTTTTGGAGGAACCACGGCAAATCAAGATCAAAATAGTAGTGCATCAACGAGACAGCATCTCTCCTAGGCTTTCCGCGATGACTTTGGAGTCCCTCTTTGACTGTTTGAACTGGGATAGCGATATTAATATCGAAGGGGAATGTGCCCCCTCCCCCATCTGCTCTTTGCAGACTAATCATCAGCTTAGTCTCATTATGAAGTTGCAGAAGAAGTCACGCACTGTCGGTCGGGAGATGAATATCACCAAGATGAAATGGACAATGAGCATTGCTCGGTAGGTTCAATCTTCAATGATGGCGAAGAAGAGGGAAAGTTCACTAGCCACGTGTACCTTTGCCATAAAATAGATTTCAATAACAAAACTAACTGCGAGATCAGCAGAAGAAGGATGGTGGCATGGGTAAGTTTCAGTCGTATCAAAACATATACGCTGAATAACGAACCACTCATCCAATCCGCCGTCCTACGAGTCATGATGTAAAGTGGACAGATTTGGTCTATCGTCAAGGCTGAGGAAAAAACAGTAGAGGTAGCGCAGAGAGCGATGGAAAGAACAACACACAAGGCCATATTCTAACTGGTGAATGTTTAGAAAAGCATGATTGTTGGATGTACAAGGTATAAAACTCGAAAGGAAGACGGGATAGCTACGTGGCTCGTCTAAATGACACGTGACGTCCTGAGTTACCAATTGCATGCAATACACCCGGACGACCCAATGACAAAGCTGTTTTTTTTCAACAGTGAAACAAATGGCGCAATCGAGAAGGGTGACGGAAAGTCGACTTAAACATCTGTAGCGCAGTCGTTGACGAGAACAAGTCAGATATAACGAAAATCACATCATAAATAATACTTACGAATAATATTCATTGCCCTCACGGTGTAGTGTCTAGCGTCTAGATTGCTTTAGTGGGGAGCTCGGAAACACGTAGATGAAGGTTTTGAAATACCATGGACTGGCACCCTAGGCGATGAGGTGCAAGGCTGGGTGCAATATACCGCAAAATCAGGCTGTTGGAGGAGTTAAGCGCTTGTCAACGAGTTTCATCGGAAAGATATGCATCATCGGTTGTTTTGCGAAAATAGATACCTCAGAATTGTAACGTTCATCATGATCTTATTATAAATCACTGCGATTATTGTAGCTAGTCTCTCAGAGATGGCAGAACGTTGCAATGAAGTTTCCCCGAAGCATCAACAAATTCAAAATTGAACACAATCATTCAAATGGGTCATGGAATACGACCAAATTATTCACTATTTGGCTATAAAATAGATCTTTTAAGACATTCGTCATTTAAATCGTGGGAGTACGCCCATTCGGTGTTCATGTGTTTTGTGGACCTAGAAAAAGCAAGCCTACGACCGGATCCCACGCAACAGTCTGTGAATATGCCTTTGTGTATAAGGGACAGATGGCCAGCCGCTAAGCGCCACCCAATTGCTGGATTCTGGCAGCAGGTGCTGTGTCAGAATTAATGGCATTAAGTCGAAAACATTCAACATTCACAGTGGAGAAATCAGGGGTTAAACTGATGGACTTTACTCTGACGATGTAGAGTTTGTTAATATGCTGTTTTTAACAGTTTCTAGGGAGAAGTACGTGGAGGAATCCTACCACATAAAGGTTATGTTAAAA